CCCTCTTTCCCCAAGTGTCTTCTGCTAACACCAAAGCCCCTTTGTTACCTCCTCTGCCCCCAGGCCTCACCACCTGCTGCAGGCCAAAATCCACTCTTTGTGTGGTCTGCAGCTGGCCACCAGGGCCTTCCCCTTGAGGAGGTTCTTATCAGAACTGCAGCCCAACCCCTTGCTGGGAGGCTGGGTTAGGGGCAGGTAGTAGGAATAGGAGGTGACCAGCCTTGTCCTGAGACTCATCCCCTGTGTGTGACCTGATTCCCTGGTACTTGGTACTTATGGAGAGTGGAAGGGAAAGGTGGCCTAGCCCAGGTCAGGGCCCACGTGTACTAGACTAGGCTGTGGACCTTGCATCCTGCAGGGCAGCCTGTCCACCTGATGCCTGGGGTCTCTCTTGTCAGCCAAGTGATATGTCAGGGCTGGGGATGAGGAGGGACAAGCCAGTTCACATGGTGGAGGGACAGAATCTTGGGCATTCGTGATGGTGTGGAGGATCTAGAAGGGTGTCCATGTGGAGGGACTGCCTTGGGCTTGGCTTTCCCAGGGTGTGGTCTCCAAACATCTCCCACTTGAGCACATAGGTATAGTGAGTCCCCAAAGCCAGGGCTTATCCCCATTCCTGACCTGTGTGTCCCCCTTACTTCTCACTTCATGCCCTTGGGCCCATGAGGCCTCCTCCTTCTATTAACAGTTCCATTTCTACCTAGACCACAGGGCTGCTCTCCCTCACACCCTGGGGTGGCTCAGGACAGAAGCCCAGGACAGGGAGGCACAGCTCTGGGCAGGTCACCAAGAATCAAGGCCCTTCTGCCACCTGAGGCAGCTTTTAGGTCCTGGAAGCTTCTGGAAGCTGAAGTCGATAAAGCAGGGCTCTCTGGTTTGAGTTAGGAACCTCTGGATGTATTGGTACATTAAGTCCTGTCCCTCTGTCCTTGCCTCAAATTCATGGCCCAAGCTCTGACCCCTTCAAAGTCTTCCCACATCAACGTGGCCTGGGCCCACCATCCTCTGAGCCTCTTTAGGTGGATATTAAGTCAATTGGCAAGAGGTTCTCCAAGGAGTGGGGTGCAGAAGCCATGGAAGGAGCCCCCACTCTCAGTGGGACCCCTCCTGGGGCCTTGCCCTCCCCTTCCTGCTGCCCACCTCTCCCAGGCGTCTCCAGTATTGAGGGAAGAAAATACAGCAGAGGTGAGGGCAGACCCCTGTTGGGGAAATAGAGTTTAAGAAATCTCTATCACCCAGAAAGGCCTTCCACAAAAATAGAAAAGAAAGAAAATAGTTTTTTTTTTTTTTAATATTTATTTTTTAGTTTCAGGTGGACACAATATCTTTATTTTATTTGTATGTGGTGCTGAGAATCGAACCCAGTGTCTCAGGCATGTTAGGCGAGTGTGCTACCACTTGAGCCACATCCTCAGCCCAAGAAAATAGTTTTTTATTTGTTTGTTTTGATTGAATAAGCGTTGGAAGAATGTGATGCCTTTCCTGGCACTTGCAAGATGGCTGGGCTGAGAGCACTCGCAGCTTGGTTATAGCCAGGTAGGGGCCATCTATCTTGCACATCCATTCTCAAGATAAATCATAGCTGCTCTTCAAGAGCATGTGACACTACCATGTCTCATTTAATTCAGCCTCATTTTACCTACTTATTAGGGTGACTATTTGCTATCTAATTACCCTTACCCAAAGGAAAAGTAAGCTTTTCATATTTTTTTAAATATATTTTTTTTAGTTATACATGGACACAATATCTTTATTGTGTTTATTTATCTTTTATGTGGTGCTGAGGATCGAACCCAGTGCCTCATATGTGCGAGGCAAGTGCTCTGCCACTGAGCCACAACCTCAGCCTAGCTTTTCATATTTTTATGACAGGAGTTAACTTTGCAGCTTGGAGCCAGGCACCATCCAGAGCCAGGCTCCTGCCCTTGCGTGGAGAAGGGCCTGCCTCCTGCATGTTGACTTTTCAGAAGGATGGCTCCCAGGTCCTCAAGAAAGACATCAAGGCCAGGCACGGTGGCACACACCTGTAATCCCAGCAGCTCGGGAGGCTGAGGCAGGAGGATCACAAGTTCAAAGCCAGTCTCTGCAAAAGCAAGGCACTAAGTAACTCAGTGAGACCCTATCTCTAAATAAAATACAAGATAGGGCTGGGGATGTGGCTCAGTGGTTGCCTTGGTTCTCTTAAAAAAGAAGAAGAAAAAAAAAAAACGGGCTGGGGATATAGCTCAGTGGTTAATCCCTGGTACCAAAAACAACAACAACAACAACAAAAAAAACAAAAACATTATGTTGTGAAGTTGGCAAAAGCCTTTTGGCTTCAAAAAAGACTTATGTATGTTTCAAAAGGGATGGAGCCAGAATTAACAATGAGAAGTTTCTGAAGAAAATACTCAGTCCTTCTGTACCTCTGTAATCCCAGCAATACAGGAGCCTGAGGGAGAATTGTAAATTCAAGGCCAGCCTGGGCAAACAGCAACCCTGTCTCAAAATAAAAGGCAGGGGATGTAGCTCAGTGGGTTCAATCCCTAGTACCATAAAAAAACAAAAAACAAAAAACCCCCAAACCAAGAAGGTGTCTTTCACTCTACACCAGGGAAATTAAATTTTCTTTAGATTCCTGTTTACCCATATACCCCTCTCTTACCTTGTCAGAGACCAGATTCCAATTCCGGTAGATATGCCCAGAACCCTCAGGAAGGGGACCCTGGGGGAAGGGGGTCTCGGTAAGGCTTTCCTTGGCTGGAGTGGGCTTTCTGGTGAGGGGTTGCCAAGCCGAGGTGGCCAAACGGGAGCTTTGACTGAAGCCTGGAAGAGCCCCTTCCCAGGCGGCTGAAGCTTGGGCTGCGAGTCTCTGTGGGGCAGCTTTTGGAGTCCTTGCCGTGCTGGGGGTACAGGAGCATGAAGCCAGGTGTGAGCACAGGAGACACCGTGGGCACTGGCGTGGTGATAAAATGAGCCGGTGTCTGAGCTCAGTCCCCAGCTGGCAGCATATTTGTTATGTGCCTCTCCTGGGGGCTCTGTCCGGGGTTTGGGGCGCCTGGGGACAGTGACGAGCACATCAGGTGGGAAAACTGCTGGGGCAATGTGAGGTGCAGTTAGGCTAATTGCTGGGTACTGAGGTGCCAGGGGAGGCTGCTCTGGGAAGGTGACGTTGAGGAAGGAAGAAGCTCAGGGCAGCCTGGCAGAGGATGTGGGGGCTTCAGAGGGGACTCCCAGGCAACAGCTTGCGGCGTCCAAGAAGCCATGCGATTTGCCCCCAGCCATGTTTCCGGCAGGAAGGGAGCCAGTCAGGAAGACCACAGCCTAAAATAAAGAAAAGTGATGGCTGAACCAGGGACCCGTGAGCTAGCACCCTGCCTAGGGCGACCGTGAGATGCCCTGGCAGGGTTCCTGACTAGCTTTGTTCTAGAACATGGATGGGGACTCTGAAAGATGGGCCGCTGATGAGGAAGAGTGGGGGCCCTCTGCCTCCTGGGTGCCTTCTTGACTAGGGCCCGTCCTGCGCGATCTCTGACCTCAGCTGAGGTTCCTCGTTTCTCACTTGGTGGCCTTCACTTGCCACCTTTCCCATGTTAGGGGTGTGAGGCTCTGGTCTGGGAGTCAGGAGTCCTGGGTTTTTGTCCATTTGTGCCATTCAACCACCTCTGTGACTCTGGACATGTCCTGGACCCTCTCTGCCCGGTTTCCTCTTGGTTAATATAAATCATGCCATTTTGCCACTTTTGACTGGGCAGAGAGGCGGAGTTTCAGGAGAGGGAGAGGTTAAAAGTCCAAGTCTGAAAGACTGGCTGTTGGGCAGGACCTGGATGACACATTCTACCAGGGACAGTACCTCACAGGGGCACCCATACATTCCAAGAGATTATTTTGTTTGGGGGGAAAAATGTTGAAATTGTTAGTGCGCTAAATTGATTTATTCTTGAAGGTCAAGCTGAAATTGTACCTCTTCCATGAAGTCATCCCTTGTCGCGGCAGTTCAAAGTATGGTGTCATGTGTCCATGATCTCTCTCTGTCTCACATCTTTTTCTCTCACTTCCTAAAATTCTCTTTAATAATTCAACAAGCATTTTTTTTGCCCTGATATCTGTTTATTTATTTTTCAGTTGTAGGTGGACACACAATATCTTGATTTCATTTTTACACGGTGCTGAGGATTAAACCCAGTGCCTCACACGTGCTAGGCGAGCGCTCTACCCCTGAGCTACAGCCCCAGCCCTTGCCCTGATAGTTGAACACTACTGTGGTATCTATCTATATTGATGCATTTAAGTTTATTTTATTTTTCTAATTTAGGATTATATACTACCTCCTAAAATAGGTGATGGAAGGACACAGACCAAGTCTTTTTCTTCTTTATCTCCCCAGGGCTTTGCTTTTTGGTAAATGTGTGCAAATAATGGTGATTTTCTAAGATCTACTATTTCCTTAGGGGTTATGAAACTTTATAAAATAGCTTTATTTCAGGGATGCTCATAATTGAAACTATCAATTAAAAACAATTTGCCATATGCTTTTTCTGTTTTCAAGTTTGTCAGGGTATCTAATTTAAAACATGGAGGGGGCAGGAAGGGAAGCCAGAATTTTTAAAAACTGTAAAATTGCAGTGTGTGTTTAAAACTACATAATGTAGACTCCACAGGCCGGTGCTGTTAACCCCTGTACATTTCTTTTTTTTTTTTTTTTTAAAGATAGAGTGAGAGAGGGAGGGAGAGAGAGAGAAATTTTTTTTTTTTTAATATTTACTTTTTAGTTCTCGGCAGACACAACATCTTTGTTTGTATGTGGTGCTGAGGATCGAACCCGGGCCGCACGCATGCCAGGCGAGCGCGCTACCGCTTGAGCCACATCCCCAGCCCCCAACCCCTGTACATTTCAACTGAGGTCCTAGAAGAGGGCTGAGAAATAGCGCGAGGTCTGAGATGGGAGAGGGTCCGGAAGACCGGCTTTCATCCTGTCCCATAGGCCAATTCTCTTTATTTTGCTCCCATCTCACTCTCAGATGGCAGGGCGGATACCTGGCCAGCACTGATGCCGTGAGAGGTCTTCAGGGATGGAGAGTGGCCTGCCTGGTGACAGTACAGGTAAGAGAGAAAGTGGCCTCCTCCTGTCCCAGGCCTGCCTGCCTGTCCTTCCTGGAGCCAAACACAAGTTGCTGCCCCGAGCATCTAGAATGTACAGTTTCAGGGTGGAGACCTGGACTTGAAGGTCATCCAAAGACTAGAACAAAGAGACTGTGGGATTGGAAAAAAAAAAAAAAAAGACAAAGCCCAGTCCATTAACTTGCCAGGCCAGGGGAGACAGAGGCATGGCTGCAGGAATTGAGATGTTTTAAGCTCTAGCACTCTGGGTAGGACAGCTGCTTAGAGCAGACTCTGTTGTTTGTTGATCAGCAAACTTCTTCAGTTCAGCCCAGGAAAGCTTCCTGGGGTCACTCAGAGTTCAGGGTCTTTCTTGGCTCAGAGTTGGCTATGATGAAACACAGCCCTCAGTTTTGGTATCTGCCGGCAAGTGCTGTCAGGAATGGAAATTTTTTCTGTTTGGTCATGTGTTCTTGGCAGGAGCCCTTCTGTTTAGCCCTGTGCTGGGGCTGCAGCAGCCCCTGGCACCTGTGAGGAGGTCTCCCAGCTCTTTTATTTTTTCCTGTGCAGGGGATTTGAATCCAGGAGTGCTCTACCACTGAGCTACATCCCCAGACATTAAAATTTTTAAAAAAGTTTCATTTTGCACCAGGGACTCACTCATCATGTTGCCCTTGACCTTGCAATCCTCCTGCCTCAGCCTCCGGAGTAATGAATTACAGGTGTGATGCCACTGTTGCCTCTGCCTGTGAGCAGCTCTCCCAGCCACTCCCCGCCAACCCTGCTTTTTGTTTTTTTAGTGCAGGACATTGAACCAAGGGCCTTACTCTTGCTGGGCAAGCCCTCTACCACTGAGCTACACCCCCAGCCCTCCCAGCTCTTTTTAAAAATTTCTTTTGAGACACCGTCTTGATAAACTGCCCAGGCTAGTCTTGAACTTGTAATCCTCCTGCCACAGTGCCCAGCTCTTTCACCAGTCCTGTCCTGAAGTGGTGGGGGCTGAAGAGTGGCTGTATCCCTTTCCCCCACCAGCAATGGGGTCCCAGGGCAGGCCTAGCCCAACTTAGGAATCCCCCCCTGGGCAGAGTGTGACTGGTTTTCTTATCTCCCTCTCCCCTCCCAGGGCAGTTGTTCTATAGTCCCCAGAGCCCAAGACCCCTGTGGAGAGAACCACCTTCCCTCCCAGAAAAAATCATTTCAGTGGACTTAAGACTGAGACAAAAATTATGCCATGACTGGGTAAAAGATAAGCATTAGCAGCACGCTCCAGGAGGGGCAGTGTCATGTGTGGAAACCACCCATCCTGGGCTGGGTCTTGATAAGGACCTTTAGATGGACAGGCTGGCCTTGTTCAAGTCTCACTTGGGACTCGAGAGCTTCTGTAAGACATAGACATTACGGTAATTATGCAATCACGGTGAAGCCTAGAGCATGTGTGCTAAACACCTGAGGACACTTTCCCTGTATAAACTCCTCAGCCGTGAGGTGGCTCTGACAAAAGGAGACTTGGAGACTACCAGGGCCCTCTTCCTCCCTAGGGCACTTCTGAGGCAACCCTGGGGCTGTAGGGAAGAGGGAAAATGCTGGCACAGATATCGAGACCCACTCCTAGGCTATAGCCAGTTCTCACCTGGCCAGACTTAGGGGAATGGTCTGTCTGAGTGCCACATTTTTCAGATAATTGAGAACTTACCTCTTTTAATTTTTTTTTTTTTTCAGTGCTAGGGCCTGTGTGCATGCTCTAGCACTGAGCTACATCCTCATCTCCTCTTTTAATTTTTATATATGTTGTATATCCATTTTTTTTGTTGTTGTGGTAATTTAATCCAGGAGTGCTTTACATTATATACATAATGTAAAATTTATCAAGTTAACCATTTTTAAGTGTACATCAGTATCATTAAGCACACTTACAATGCCGTGTAACCATCCCCATCATCTATTTCCAGATTTTTTTTATCACCCAGGAACTCTGTACTCATTAAATGGTAATCCCCATTTAACATCTTTTTATTTTATCTGAACCATTTAAGATTTAAAACATGTTTTTTATGATGACTGAGGAATATAACCTGCAAGCCAGAGGCTTTGTATCAGTACCAGACCCCTGAAGTGATATATCCCTGGGACAGGCTGAGGGCCTAGCACACCCTGTTCCTCAGTCCCAGGACCTCAGGGGACCTGTGCTAGGTTTATATTCTTGTGCCCATTAGCAGGTGTGAGAACTCTATCCTGGAGTTCTGAGGCCTTCAGGCATAGGGACATCTTTCTGGCTGTGGGTAGAGAGGGGAAAGCTACTTGTTGGATATTAAGGCCAAGTTTTACCAAGCAAGGCAGTAACTTGGGGAGGGGGGGCTCTGGGGTATTAATGGATACTGTGTCACTCAGGGACAGTGGTCCCTTCTTGTTTGAATATATCTTGTATTCACTACCAGGCTGCCAATTTGGATACTTAGTCCCTTAAATACCTTCCCGGGCCACATTTCATTGCAGCTATGGAAACACTCCTATAATCAATTAAACTCATTGCACTTGGGTGTTCAGTTCCTGCCAAAAATAAATTTCTTTTTTTTAAATATTTATTTTTAGGTATAGATGGACACAACACAATACCTTTATTTTTTAATGTGGTGCTGAGGATCGAACCCTGGTCCTGCCCATGCTAGGCGAGCGCTCCACCGTTGAACCACCATCCCAGCCCCAATAATAAATTTCAATCACCACTTTCATTTTCAAATTGTTACTTTCACTAAAATGATTTTTCATGACCAAGCACCAGGGGAAGCATTATGAAGTTATTTGCAAGGAGGGAAACTGGCTCCTTAAAGGTACCTTCCATGATATCCTCCCCCACAATGACCCTGAGGCCATGCGGTGGTGGTGGTGGGGGGGGTGTTGGCCCTAGAATGAAAGACTACCAGATTATTATTGAGGGTTTTTTCTTTAAAATATTTAAGGATTTAAAAATTGTATATGTGTGTATGTTATGTACATATACATACAAACACACACACATACACATTTCTGGTACTGGGGATTGAACCCAAGGATGCTTAACCACTGAGTCACATCCCCACTCCTTTTTATTTTTTATTATTATTTTTTTAATATTTAATTTTTAGTTTTCGGCAGACACAACATCTTTGTTTGTATGTGGTGCTGAGGATCGAACCCGGGCCGCACGCATGCCAGGCGAGGGCACTACCACTTGAGCCACATCCCCAGCCCCCCTTTTTATTTTTTAAAAATTGTATTATTTGAGGGCTGGGGTTGTGGCTCAGCAGTAAAGCGCTCGCCTAGCACTTGCGAGGCCCTGGGTTTGATCCTCAGCACCACATAAAAATAAATAAATAAAGTATTGTGTCCAACTACACCTAAAAAAATTTTTTTAATATTGTAAAATATATTTTAAAAATTATATTATTTGAATATCCTCATATAAATTCAAAAGATACAAGCCAGTGTGGTGGCACATACCTGTAATCTCAGGGACTTGAGAGGCTGAAGCAGGAGGATTGAGAATTTGAGGCCAGACTTGGCAATTTAGCAAGATTGTGTCTCAAAATAAAAATTAAAAGGTCCAGGGGTATAGCTCAGTAGTAGAGCACTCCTGGCAGTACCACACACATACAGAAAAATTCAAATGACAGATGAGGTAAAGATCCCCTCTACCTTCTCTAGCCAGTCCTATCATTTCAGAGGACAAACACCATTTTCAGGTTTGTACACAGCATCCTGGGTCATGTAAGTACATATGTATGTACATAGAGACATGCAGTTTTATGTTCATAAATTGGGTCAAATAATTCATGTAATTTTTTCAACTTGTTTTTTGCTTTCTCTTGAAATGTTTTAGATCTTTTCACATTGGCATATATAGTTATTTTCCAATTTTTTCAATTATCAGTTACAACCCATATCATGAATAGAATGATAATTTTTTAAAACTGTTCTTTAGATTGTTATCCATTGTTTGCTAATTACAAATTGCATTTCAGTGAGTATTCTCAGCACTCCTCTTTGTATTTGCACATATTTCTTTGTGTGCACATGTGCATGCACGTGTGCGTATGCTACGGGACTGAAGCCCCGGCCTTGTGCATGCTAGGCATGTGCTCTTCCACTGAGTGACATGCCTGGTCCACTGGTATGTATTTCTTAGGATAAATACCTAGAGTGAAATTCTATATAGAAGATTCTATACACTTCTGATTTTAACAAGTCCTGTCCAATTATCCTTCAAAAAGTCTGAACCCCAGGATATGCTCCCAGAATATACCCTCAGGATGCCCTTGTGCCTACTTGCTTTCTCATGTTTCTGTGTATATTGTGTATATTTTCCATCTTTTCATTTTACTACGCTTTTTTTTTTTTAGTACCAGGGATTGAACCCAGAGGGGCTTTACTGCTGAGCCACATCCCCATTTTTTTATTTTTTATTTTGAGACAGGGTCTCACTTAATTGCTTAGGGTCTTGCTAATTTGCCGAGGCTGGCTTTGAGCCAAGGCTGGCTTTGAACTTGCTATCCTCCTGCCTCAGCCTCCTGAGTTGCTGGGACTACAGGCGTGTGTAACCACACCCAGCTTCTATTGCCATTTTAAAAAATGATTAATTTTTTTACCTGGTAATCTTGCTGTATTTCCATTTTCAGTGGATTCTATTGTACATTCTAAGTTGAAAATCATAAGCAAAGCTCAGTTGCCTCCTCTTTTCCCATATTTATATATTTCTTTTTTCTCCTCGGCTTTGCTGGTTTCTCAAGTATGAAGTTGAATAGTGTCAGTGATAGTGAGCACCCTTATTTTACTGCTTCTAATCTTTTGTCTTTGGTTGTAGTGTTTGCTGTAATTTCTAGTATACATCTTTTGTCAGGTTAAGAAATTTTCTTATGTTCCTAGTTCGTTCGTTCGTTCGTTCGTTCGTTCATTCATTCATTCCCTCCTCCCTTTCCTTCTTTCCTCCCTTCTTTCCTATTTCCCTCCCTCTTTTCCTTCAGAAATGATGCTAAATTTTAGCAGATGACTTTTTCCACACCTATTGATATGGTATGAGGTTTTTTACTTTTAATACAGTCATGTCATGATTCTGTCAAGCCATCTTTTCTTTCCTGGGGAATATCCCAGCAGGGTTATAATATGTCATTCTTTTTAATGCCTCTGAACTTGCTTTGCTAATGTTTGCATTTGTCCAAAGAACAGTAAACCTATAATTTCCTGCCTACCCCCACTTTTGTCTTGTTTTGATGCTAGAGTTATGCCGGACTTAATAGACTCTTCCCTCCCTGCTATTCCCCGTAATAGTTTAAATAGCAGGGACTAATCCTTCCCTTGAAGTTTTAGTGGAGCCTGTTTTTGCAGTCATGTGGCCTATTCCCTGTCGTGGGGTAGAATCTGGCTTTCTCTTCAGTCTCTTCTGATTATTTATATAATCAGTTTTTCTACCTATCCTTGGGTTAGCTTTAATTGATATTTTCTTGCAAAACCATCTTTTTACAAAAATTTTCAATTTTTTTGATATAAAGTCAATAAATAGTATTTTAGGATTTTTCAGAATCCTTTTGGTACTTTTAAATTTCCTTCACTTAAAATCTCTGTTTTTACCTTTGTCAATACCTTTCTTCTACTTCTTTGGTTTTATTTTGTTGTCTCTATAATGCTGAAATCTGTTGTTTTTAGACTTTATTCCTTCTGTGTTCACAACTGTTTGCTTTCATCTCCCTTTTATGGAATGCGAACTTTCGTGAAGTATAACATACATACTCACATAGTGAATACACTCCTGTAATCAGCACCCACATTGACAGAACACTGCAGGAACCTCAAAACCCATGCCTCCTTCACCCGGCCATCCCTAGTTTGGCCAGCTTTGGATCTCCGTGTAAGTGGGATCATAGGGTCTGTATTCTTTAGTGCCTAAAGTAGGCATTTTCATTTGGAGTTCTGATGTTTGAGGTAGGCACAGAAAGTACCTCTGGAGACTTGTGCACAGGTGTGAAGTGTGGGCCAGGAGCAGCACGTGGGACTCTAGTGAGTGAAGTGGCCTGGGTGTAGTACCAAGGCAAGGCAACCCTGTTTCTGCAACCCCTGTTTCCGGTGTTGAGGCCTTTTTGGCCTACATTCACATCTGACCATTTTCTCCTTGTTCCCTTGGGCCAGAAGATTTCATTGGATGTTGTTGTTTTTTAGTTGTAGATGGACACAATACATTTTATTTATTTATTTATTTTTTATATGGTGCTGAGGATTGAACCCAGTGCCTCACGCGTGCTAGGCAAGCACTCTTACCACTGAGCTACAACCCCGGCCCTTGGAGGGTTTCTTTAACCTCCTCTGCATCTCCTGGGCCTTGGGGTAGAGAAAGCAGGGTGAGATATTTTTTCCCGTCACAATCCACACCTCAGCTTGCCCTCTGCGTGTCCTTTCTGCCTTCCCCTACTGCCTTTTATTTCCCCTTCCATTTAAAAATCTTTGCCTTCCTTCTTCCAGCTTTTCTCTTCCCTCTCGCACCTGTTGCTCTCTCTTGCTCCTTCTTTGCACTCTGGGGAGCAGCTAGTGACCTCTCTCCATCCTCTCCCTTTGCCCCTGGCAGGAGATGAGCTGGTGATGAAGATCAAGCAAGAGAAGCCAGAGTGGCTGCTGCAGACACAGGCCGTGCTTCCCGAGAAGGACAAGGAGAACATTTTCCAGCAGCATCGGGGCCTCCTGCCATGCCAGACCATGGGGCGACCTCGGGGTCTGGGGACACAGGAAGAGACTGGGGGTCCAAGGTGGGCTCCTCCCACTGAGCAGGATGGGCTGCTGGCAGGCCGGGCTCCCGGGGCCGCCCCTGGCCCTCTGAACCCCACATTTTCTGCTGGAGAGGGTCACTTTGTGTGCGTGGACTGCGGGAAGAGGTTCAGCTGGTGGTCGTCCCTGAAGATCCACCAGCGCACCCACACCGGAGAAAAGCCGTATCTCTGCGGTAAGTGCGGCAAGAGCTTCAGCCAGAAACCCAACCTGGCCCGCCACCAGCGGCACCACACAGGCGAGCGGCCCTTCTGCTGCCCGGAGTGTGCAAGGCGCTTTAGCCAGAAGCAGCATCTACTCAAGCACCAGAAGACCCACTCTAGGCCCGCCACCCATGCGTGTCCTGAATGTGAACGTTGCTTCCGCCACCAGGTGGGCCTCCGCATTCACCAGCGCGCACACGCCCGGGACCGCCAGGGCTCCCGCGCTGGTCTGCATGAAATGCTTCGGGAAGCCGCTGTACGACGGGCCTGCCACCTGCGGCCCGGGACACCACGGGGCCGCCCAGAGTGGGCCTGGCTGGGGCTCTGCCAGGGCTGGTGGGGCCAGCATGGGGCCCGGACCTCCGTCCCTGGCCCCTCGGGGCCCGGAGAACAGCGCCAGTTCATCTGCAATGAATGCGGCAAGAGCTTCACCTGGTGGTCCTCGCTGAACATCCACCAGCGCATCCACACGGGCGAGCGGCCCTACGCGTGCCCCGAGTGTGGCCGCCGCTTCAGCCAGAAGCCTAACCTGACGCGGCACTTGCGCAACCACACGGGGGAGCGGCCGCACCCGTGCCTGCACTGTGGCCGCAGCTTCCGCCAGAAGCAGCACCTGCTCAAGCACCTGCGCACGCACCTGCCGGGCGCCCAGGCTGCAGCGTGCCCCAGCTGTGGGCAGAGCTGCCCTAGCCGAGCGGCGCTGCGGGCCCACCAGCGTGCGCACGCCGCTGCCGAGCGCTGCAGCCCTGGGCCTGGCGTCCAGGACCCGGAGCCAGGTGCAGAGCCACAAGCTGAGGCCCCTCAGGACTTGGCTGTGCAGCCCCACAGCCCCCAGACGCCACAGGGGGGTGGGGCCGCGCCGTGGGGCCGGGGGCGCGGGGGCCTGGCCGGGCCGGGGGAGCCGCGCCAGTTCATCTGTAACGAGTGTGGCAAGAGCTTCTCGTGGTGGTCGGCGCTCACCATCCATCAGCGCATCCACACCGGCGAGCGGCCCTACGCGTGTCCCGACTGCGGCCGCCGCTTCAGCCAGAAGCCCAACTTGACGCGGCACCAGCGCAACCACACGGGCGAGCGGCCCTACCAGTGCTCCGCCTGCGGCCGCGGCTTCCGTCAGAAGCAGCACTTGCTCAAGCACCAGCGAGTCCACCGCGGAGCCTTGTCACCGCACCCTGGCCCCCAGGAGGAGGCGCTGTAGTGCACCGGTGCTGCGCACGGCAGAGGGGATTGTGTGTGGTGTGTGTGGGGACAGGGATAGCCTGAAAACTGGCTCTTAACAGGTCCCTCCTGAGACCCCATCAAAAGGTAGTACCTTGAGGCTCCAAGCCCCAGAGAACAGCATTCCAGAAGTATCCCATTTCCAACGGGTGCCTGAAAAAGTGCCCAGGGTGTGTTGGGGGAGGAATTAAGATCAGCACTCCTCACCCAGGAGCCTGGATGAGTTGATGATGGGCTGCTCCCGTCTGTACACAAGAGGTGTACCCCAGCCTTAGGAACCGAATGAAGGGGCTTTTTGGCACCCTCCAGAGGCGAGAAATGTTCCCAGGATTGGTCAGTTGTAGCACTGGCCTGTCACACCTGGGCTGCACCATGACCAGGGGGCTGTCCCTATGGTAGAGTAGAGACAGACTCCAGAATACCAGGAAAGGAGCAGAGGTGGTGGATAGGAGGGGACAAGCATAACCCCAGCACCAAAGCTAGTGCCACATTTAGTGGCATCCAATAACTATTTCTGGAGGGACTGGGGGGCTTGGTCCTTCTCCAACCCTGAGTGAGTGCTGGGTATGGCTGGCCTGGCCCTTGAACTGGCGTATGCGTGATGGTCAGGGACAGGAGTGCAAGTGGATGATCTCAGCTGAGATTTGGCCACTTGGGGAGGTGACTGTGCTGGAGGGAGCCACCATCTTGCTTCTGCTTCTGTCCCCAAGTGGGTGGGTGGCTGTTACTGACTTGGATCTTATCCCTCCTGGGGTTGCAGAAGAGAAAAATGAAGAACTGAATATTCCACGTGGTGTCAGTGTTCTTTCTGAACTCCCTTGCTGAAGCTGGCGTGTGTGTGTGTGTGTGTGTCTGTGCTCCCAGGGATCTATCTGTCTGGCCCAGGGCACGCTCAGCTCTCAGGACCAACAGGAAGCCAAACCAGAAGGCTTTGCCCGCACCCTTGTGACCCTCACCAATTGCCACATGCACAGCAACTTCCCCACTGCCACTTCTTCCTGGGGCTGGAGGAGAGTTTTCTCCTGTCCCCTCTCCTTCAAGTCTGATTATAGTCTTCTCACATATTCACCCTACCCCGCCTCACCTTTTGCCCCCTGGAAGTCACATCTTATGCTCTTTGAAAGCAGGGTTGACTGAGATCCTGGTGCTGATAGAAGCCAAGGCTCCAGATCTTTTCCTCAGAGGAGAGGGAATTGCAGAAGGTGGGTTGTTGCAGTTCCAGGGTTGGGTAGTTGAGGGTGGAAGGAAGATGGAAGGACCCCAGCATGGCTCTTAAGGAGAAAGAACTGTACCTGTTCACCTTCTGGGGGCCTGGATCCTTCTCTGAATGCCGAGCAATGCTACCTTTTGGGGAGCTGCCAAGGTTCAGCCTGGCTGGTTTCAAACTCTCTTCAAATCTAGTTTAGGTCTTTTCATGTGGGAAAAGCTCTAAGACGGGGAGGTGACAGTGAGGACAAGCAGGGCGACTGTAGCTGTTCAGCCTCCCTGCTAACACAGTGCCAGTGAGGCATATGCTCAGCCAGGGTTTCTCATTTCTGGTCCAGCTATTGATCACAAACCATGTAGAAATTCCACAGTTTCAGGGTTATCACCCACCTGAACGCTCAGCTCTCGGGACCAACAGGAAGCCAAACTAGAAGGCTTTGCCCACACCCTTGTGACCCTCACCAATTTTAGATGCTCCCCTGCCTCTCTCTAATGCCCTGCCTTGTCCTGCCCAGGGAGCGCCTGGTTCCTGAATTGTATCAAAGCCTGTTGTAACCATGGGAGGCTCAAGGGTCATTCACTTCTTCCTCTTTGCTGCTTAGCAAATCCTGAAATCAGTCTGAACTCACCTACTCCCGGAAGGCATCCCTGGGATACCATGATTCATTCCTGGGTTAGAGAACCACTGCCTATAAAGCCAGACCTAAAGAAACACTGGATCCCTGTAGAATTAGGTGCCCAGGGGTTGCTGCAGACAGATACTGAAGAGATCAGACTGGCAGGTGTATCTTACAAAGAGAATGTGTCCTCTTCCACAAATGCCTTGTGTTTAAAGTGAGGTGTTGGCAGGAATTGGGGTTAAGTAATTGCATGTCTCCCCTCTTGAAAATTTATGAGGATGCCTGTTCACTTTCCCTGGGTGACTGACCCTCAAAAACTAGTGCTTTGGGTCACAAGGGGGAAGACCAAATTCCCCAGCGTGTGTATTATTACCAAGTATTCCAGTTGACCAGGTCAGGGGACTGCACAGCACTGTTCACTAACAAGCCTACTGTGTATCATGTTAGACTTTTTAGAATACTGTGATGAATAAGATGTCTCTCCCTTGAACTTCATGGATCTTTATTTTTTGTACCAGGAATTGAACTCAGGGACTCTTAACCACTGAGCCACATTCCCACTTTTTTTTATTCTTGATTTTGAGTGAGGGTCTCACTAAGTTGCTTGGGCCTTGGTAGGTTGCTGAGGCTGGCTGTGTACTTGGAATTGTCTTGCCTTAGCCTCTCAAGCTGCTGGGATTACAGGTGTGTGCCTCCATGCTCAGCTGGAAAATAATTTGGGTGTATACCTAGTTTATAATAATCTATGTGGTTAACACTTGGACAAATTGTTACCAGCCCCAACCCTCTTAGCAAGGCTTTCTTACTGATTATTTCACTTAATCTCACATGGTCAGTGATGTGGTCAGGGCAGGAATATTGCCATTTGACGCATGGAAAATGGGCTGGGACAGTGTGACTTGTTCACTAGGTCATGCTGCAGATTGACAGCAGGTTCCAGGCCTCCTGCTAAGCCTGAGCTGCACCCACTCCCACGATCATTGGTCAAGGATAGCACAGTATTGTCAATTGCAGTTTTCATTTTAAAGTGACAAATTTGAGTCACAATATTTAGGAAGAGACATAAATTAAGAAAGTCAGACTTTCATGCTTGTAAACCAAGCAGCTAGGGAGGCTGAGGCAGGAGGATCTCAAATTAAAAGCCAGTCTTGGCGAGAACCTGTCTCATAAAAGAAAAAGGGCTAGGAATGTAGATCCATGGCAAAGCACCCCTGAATTCAATCTCAAGTACCAAATAAATAAGGTCAGATTTATTATCTTAGTGCTTTATGATCTAAGATACTGTGGAGTATTGCAGAGATTAAGAAGTTGCTTTGTGGAACAAAAACAGCCAAAAGTAATTAAGTAAAAATCTTGAAGGATTTTCTGCATCCAGGTATGTAAGTGCAGATCTGCAGTGGCGACCTGAGGCCAAACTTTCCACAGGCCACATGAGTTTGGTGGGGCTGAAGTTCCCAGAAATATAATTGTTATTTTGTTAGGAGCAGGTTGGGAACTAATAAAATTAACCTGGGACAATAGCCTTGACATGCAATGTGAGGGTCAAGTCAGACTCCTTGGGAAGGTTTGGTGTCCACCACCTAGCTCCAGGACTGCTGGACCCAGCTGCGGTGGGAGCTGCTCAGGGGAGTGGCTGCTCAGCAGGTGCAGGGACACTGATCAAGGGAGAGAGCAGCCCTGTGCCCAGCAGGGACTTGGCAGGGCAAGGGGTGCTTCTGAAACCTTTTATTATTTTTAACGTGGTTTGAGTTTGGTAAAGAAATATCTTTGACCTTTTGGCAGGCGAGGAATGTTGGGGCCCAAAATAGTATGTTCTCGAGTATCGCTTTTTATCCTGGACACAGGCGGTGGCTGTGAAGAGAGGGAAATGAATGGTACCTTTGGTTGTCCCTTAGGCTCAAGAGGCGTTGGAATCGCCTAGGTTACTCAGCTTTGGAGGGGGCAGTGTCCTAGGCCAGCACTGCCCAACAGCACATTTTGTGCTGATGGAATATTCTGTATTTGGGATATCCAATACCATAGCCACGAGCCATATGGTTCTTTTTTTTCTTATTTTTGGTACCGGGTACAGGGGCACTTAACCACCAAGCCACATCTCCAGCTTTTTTTGTATTTTATTTAGAAACAGGGTATCTCTGAATTGTTTAGGGCCTCACTAAGTTGCTGAGACTGTCTTTGAACTTGCAATCCTCCTGCCTTAGCCTCCCGAGTCACTGGGATTACATGCATGTGCCACTGCACCCAGTGCCACTGCACCCAGTGCCATGTGGCTCTTAACATTTCAAATGTGACTGGTGTGGCTGAGAAATTGAATTTTAGCTTAGCTTAATTTTAATTAATTAAAATAGCCACACGTGGCTATTGGATGGTGTAGCCCTAGGATTGACGTTCCTATTGGCAAAAAGCTAGAAGGCAGTGTGTGTGTATGGCTCAGTGCTTTGCCTAGCATATGCAATGCCCTGGGTTCTGTCCCCAGCTAGCAGAAAAAGCAAAATAAAACAAAAACAACAACAAACTAGAAGACTTGCCTTCTCTCCCCTCCCACTCTGTGGCCCAAATCTAGAAAGATTTTTGGTTTCTTTGTTGGGAATAATGGATAGAGTCGGTTCTGGGGTAGAATACTATCTTTGCCCTTTAGATTGTGGGACCTTGGCAGGTGACCTATGTTAAGCATATAGTATAGTGCTGGGCACACAGCAAGCACTCAATAAGTGGTAGCTATTATTTTATTATTAAAATAATTACAGTGGCCCATGTGTGCCTACTTGTAGAGCAAGAGATGAAAAGGTTTGTTCTCTGTTTAGCTCAGTTTCCATAAAGAATGAGCTGTCCCCATGTCAAGTAGCTAAGTCTGCCACAAACTTAAAGGCTTGGCTGAATTGGTGTCATAGGTCATGTCTCAGCTTTTTTTTTTTTTTTTTTTTTTTAATTAATTCTAAGGAAAGAAAACTTTGGAGCAGCTGAAACATCACACTCACGGTTTCAACTAAGTTTCCACAGCCCATCCCAGCCCTCAAAGTTGTGGCTGGGGCTAGGACACTGCACTGTTAAAGTAGCTTTCTCACATGCATTCACTCATTCACTGACTGAGGACCCATTATATTCTGGACATTTGAGATACAGGGATGCTAAAAAATAGTTCTTGTCCTTTGAAGTTCACAACCTAATGGGGAAAATAACAGTGTGTTAAATTCCAAATGTGCTTTAGAGTGAGGTATTAGGGATGCTTCTCCAATTCCTGGGGATGGAAGAGCTCCTGGTGGAGACACAATGGAAGCCCTGGGGACTTGGCCTCATGCAGGAAGAGCTGGAGGCTGGCCAGAGCAATGGTCTGGAGCTGCCTGGGAGAGGCTCAGGGTCATCTGTCCATCTGGTAAGTCCCAGGGTGGAATAGTGCAGGGCCCTGTGCAGGGCTTACTGAGCTGATTTCTTCTCTGCCCATATGGGGGTCATGGGCCAGCTACTCTCCAGAGTGCCTTGGCTGTGAGCAGCCCTGGCCTTTGTTAGGGTCTAGAGTCCAGCTGCCACAAGGGCTGGGGGTGACCTTATATCAGCTACTGCATTCCCAGAGTGTTTCTACATTACCCTTTACCACAGCATGTGAGAACAGGATGGTCAGCTGCAGGGAGAGGAGGGGACTGGAAATCACAGGGTGGCAGAGCAGAGAATGGAGGCCTTTGGCCCTGGACATCTCTCACAGAGACCCAGGGTTTGGGATGGCATCATCTGCCTCCCCCTCTCAATCTCTAGCTGTGTTCTTTTTGTTTCTATTTTGGTTCATCTTACCTAGAAAAATGCTGCTAAAAATATGGGTGCCATCCTCAGGTTCATTATTGATTTTGCTTTTGAAAACTTCAGTCTTCACTAAGTGTCCCCATTTCTCTTGTGGCCTGCAGAGGAGATGAAAACTGGTTGTCCTGGCCAGTGACAACTTCTGCAACAGGAGCTGGAGCACTGGGAG